GGAGTAGGACACTGCCGTCGTGGTAGATCTTTACATAGGCAGCTGCCTGGTTGAGATGCAACGCGGTTGCAAAGCTGAGACCGAATTTTGATGGAATCAAACTGATGCCTCGCTTCCTCCACTTGTTCTTCTCGTTGAACTCCTTGACAACAGCTTTTCGTTTCTCATACTCGGACGACTTGCTCAGCTGATGAAGCAGCATGGGTATGTGCCAGTCCTCGTCAATCTTCTGGAAGAATGGGGTGTGCTCTCCAGGCTTGTACAAGTTCTTCCATCGTAGCTCGTCGATATCTATACCAAGACCTTCTGCAATGTTGTACATGATGGTCTCTGCAAAATACATGCCTTGTGGCGCACCGAAGCCCCGGAATGCTGTGTTGCTGTGGATGTTGGTTCTGCAAACGTGACCGCGTAGGAAGACATTTGGACATTCGTATGCGTTGTCAAAGTGTGTCAGGCATCGGTCCATGACGGCACCACTCATATCCTGGGAAAAGCCGCCATTGTCATAAACATCAGCCTCCATAGCAAGGAGCTTTCCCTCCTTTGACACGCCGACTTTCCATTGCGCTTTGAACGGGTGTCTTTGGCCACTGAGCAACATGTCTTCATCACGGTTCAGCATGATGCGAACTGGTCGTTTCTCTTTCCTAGCGGCAATTGCAGTGTAGACGGCAAAGGGCACACTCCGAGATTCTTTACCGCCAAAGCCACCTCCCATGCGTTTGACACGAGCGTTGACACGGTTACTTGGTACTCCCAATACTGAACTGACAAACTCTTGTACTTCCATGGTGTTCTGAGTCGAAGACCAGACCTCGATAGCCCCGTCTTCTCCAGAGGGTATGGCCAGCGCTGCATTCGTCTCGAGGTAGAAATGTTCCTGACCACCTAGCCTGCACATGCCTTCAAAGATCCTGTCACATTGGGCAAAAGCGTCAGCCATCTTATCGTCAATGGCAAGGCCCTTTCTCAAAAACTTTCCGTGAGGAAAGTAGCTGTTGGCCGCAATGGCTTCATCGATAGTCAAAATGTGGGGCAGCTCTTCATATTCAACCTTGACAGCTCGAGCAGCTGCTTGAGCTTCCAACGCTGTGTCAGCATAGACCATTCCAATGACTTGACCATGTGACAACACCTTGTCTTCGGCGAAGAATGGCTCGTCTTTCTTGATAGATCCCCAAATGTTCGCGTCAGAAGGGATGCTATTTTTGTCAATATATCCAACAACACCAGGCATCTCAAGCGCTCTATCCCAGTCAACGCTCAAGATCTTGGCATGGGCTTTTGTAGACATGACAAGGCCACCAAATAGTTCGCGATCCAATCTCGGCATGTCATCAATATACTCAGCCTCACCTGTACATTGCTTGAGAGCAGAGAGATGAGGGACTTGCCTACCAACAACACGCTGCTCGTAGGGGTTGTAGTTGTCACGCGTTCCACTAGAGATATCACGATGAATCTCATCTACAACCTGCTGATCAACGTTCCCAAGTCCAAATTCAGCAGCAGCTTCGTGCCAGAAGCGGAAGAAGAGCGAAAGTGTAAGAGTCTTGCGGTAATCAGCCATACCACCTGGAACGCTATATGGAAGGTCATAATCCTGTGTCAACGCAGTAAGCGCAGCATCTAGCGTCCCCGAGTGAAACCATGGCTTGCCGAGAAGAGCACTCTGTGTCTTTGGCGAATCCTTGGTCATTGGCGCCATGCCACCAAAAACGATGGACGAATCTTCGACCCGTCCAGCGGAATCGAGGCGCACCCTGAACGCTGCCGTAACGATTGCAATGTCATCATCTTTGCGCTTAGCCTGCTTGTATGCTTTGAGCACCTCCCTCGAGTCTTTTGGTGGTAAAGGGATCCGGATGCGGTACAAGGCTGCGTCAGGAGGTAGACTCGTCGTCCTGTATGCCAAGAAAAAATTGGACATGGGGAGATCAAGACTACCAACCTTCTTGTTGATTGCTTCTAGTGTGGCACCTGCTGCCAACAACACGGGATTCGCATCCGATATGGGCGATGCGGTTGCAATATTACCAGCCAGCGACGCAACATTGCGAATCTGGCGACCAGCAAAGTATCGCAATTGTTTTCGCAGAGCTTCTAGGACCATTGCACGCTTACCAAACTTGGCACAGACTGTTTTACAGATCCCTTCTAGTTCGGTAAGTGGAGTGTTGGCTGCGATGACGAGCTCCTTGGCGTTCTCGAGTTCGGCATCCATGGGGAGTTTGGTATGCTTGAGCTCTGGGATGTCTGAAATGTAGACAGAAACTGCAAAATCAGAGTTCTTGAAGCGGACCTCTACCTGCACTTCACTGGCACCACCAACGAGCTTGGCCGATGGGAATGCATCCTTGATGTCCAGTAGCTGGTCAAGCTTGGTAGGTCGGAACCAAATCTTCTGGTCGTTGCCGTAACATATCGGTTGTGGTTCGTGCTTCCACAGCGCAGAGGGGAAGATGAGTTCCGTGTCTGGTATGTATTCCTGAAACTCTATTCTTGGGACACCCTTCTCTGAATTTGCTGCTGGCGCAAGGGCAGCAGATGTTGAAGTTTTTGTTTGAGCGGCTGCACCTCCTTCTTTACTTTTCAGGGGTTTCGCATATTCTGCGCCGCTGATTGCAGGATCTGCCTGCGGGGGCTGTTTTGTGCCCAGGACGGCAGGTATGTGCTCATCTTCGGATGTCGAAATAGGCTCCGATGGCGGTGAGGAGGTGTTGGACTTACTATCGGTGGAGCTGCTATCTGAGGGCTCATCCCTGCAACAGCCCCCTGGACGACCGCAGGAAACCTTAGAAGGTCCTGCACATCCGCTGCGGGTGAGATCAGTGACATCGTCCTCGAACCGCCCAGCGTCTTGAGTAATTGGTCCATCTTCCTCAGCTAGCTGGCCCTTCAAGTCTTCGGTTACGAATGTCTTTGCAGCCTGCAGAATAGGCTTGTAACCAGTACAGCGGCACAGGTTGCCATCCAAGTGGCCTTCCATTTCGATTTCACGGGCACTTAGATGGAACTTGTTTGTCTCGGGATTGTATGCGTTGCGCACGACGGCATAAAGACTCATGACGATACCAGGAGTACCTACAGCATTTGTCAGTAACCTGGCCAGGCAGCTGCAGACCTAGACACTGACAGAATCCACACTGGCTACCATGAAGCTTTGCGATCCTCTCTTGCAGGGGGTGTGGCCGACCAACACTGCCGATGCCCTCGACGGTGATGACATGCTTGCCGTCGATACCCACAAGCGGGAACAAGCACGCATTCACTGACAGATGCTTAATCCGTTTCTTCTCAGACTGCGAGTCTGCGACTTGAAGTACGACTGTACATGCACCACATCCACCTTCGCCACAGCCCAGTTTGGTGCCCTTGAGATTGGGCTGGGCGCGAAGGTAGTCAAGCAGCGTCCAGTGGGGATTGGGGTTGCTTATGACGGTCTTCCTGCCGTTTATGTAGGTTGTTATATCGGGAGTTTTGTATGTCGCTTCGATCAAGGGTGTGAGGGCGTCGACAGCGGAATGCGCCCGAGGTGGGTCTGCAGCGCTACCTTTCGGCGGAACGGGGAGAGACATGGCAGATCCGCGGAGAGCCTGCACAAAGCAGACGACAATTACCCAAACAAGGGATGTGATGCTCTTCTCGTGAGCCTGGCAGAATGACGCTGACAACTCTTCAGCCTCTGCATCATCATATCGCCAGTAGTGTCACGTGATGATATCGCTGTCGGGCCTGATTGGAGGCTGACCTTCCGCTGGCCGACGAGTTTTGTCTGGGCTGGAACGCCCTACCCGCAACACCCCACTTGCACTTGGCTACCACCACTCGCTTTCAGCGCCACTACAATACACCGCGTCAACGCCCATCTGCACAACCAGCACCCACACAGCAGTGTAACCAAAAGAACAGATTCGTATGGTGGATCATTCAACGGCCTAGTCGTTTCCCCGGCAGTCGGATAAGCATGCCCCAAAACTATTGGTGCTACTGGCATCCGAGTCAGTCTTGGCCTCTGCAACTACTGCGCTTGACAGCAAACCCTGCGAGGGTTGGGGAGGACCACGGCCAAAGAATAACACTGAGAAAACACCCTGACATCCTGAAACAAGGTGACCTTGAATCCACCACAGCAGGCAGCTTCATCAGAAACCATGTCGCACAAAAGGAGGAGCCTTACAATGTCGACTTGGTCGTCTCTGGTCGCCAGTTCACTGAGAGTTTGTATCTCTTAAAGAGATTGGTAAAAGGTCCAGAATCGGACCAGTGCAGTCAAAACTTCTTCTACAGCGTTGATCTTCCCTCCAAATCGTATGCCGGCTACTCTGCTTACGAACAGATTACTTATTCCTACAACTCGAGTTTGTTATTGTGTTGGGTGTGTTAGTCCTGGAATCAATTCGGGGAATTGCAGAGCAGATGAAGTGCCCCACGTCTCTATAGAAGTAAGTTCTGTAGATGACGTTTACTTGACGTTGCCACCCGCTGGCACACACAACTAGTGGCTGGGAAAGAAGCAAATACGCTTGCAGTTGCGTCCAAGGCAATGTTGTCATTACCATGGGAAAACTGAAAAGATGTAGACCATGCCTCTGACACTTTTCATAGCCGTATCCGATGCATGCCTGAGGGCTCTCGTCCCATTGGCTTTGCAGCCGCTGCCCAGGCTCCAACCAGTTGAGTCGGTCCGTCCCGACTAACCGACTCTCACTAGACTGCTTTGCATCCATCCTTTTTCTCAACTGCCTTTCTCGTACTCTCACCAACCTATTTGCAGTGCATAGATCGAGTTCTCGACCCGACTTTTCGGACCCCAAGTACCACTTTCGCATCCGAGGATGTAGTCTCGCATACCAACAGCCGGCGCCTCCTGCAGCAGTATCTTCAGCTGGTGCACGGTTCAGCCCCATCCTTCTTTTCCATGCCACTTTTCGGACTTCGACACCTCGTATCCTGACCTTGACACGAACAATAGACTATTTGTGCTGTTGTTGCAGATGGCGCTTTCCCTCCATGAGTCGTCTTCGCCGACCATCGCCCTGGACTACTTGGCAAAATCTCTGGAACAGTTACTACAAAGACTTGCCAAGGCTGTCGTCAACTCTCCGTCTGCTCTGGATGCTGGAGACGACAAGGCGGCTTCGGTCAAGCCGGTGCAGAAACTACGAGGATCAATCCACCTCGGCACAAGGACCGGTTCTAGTTATTGTATCATGATCAACCGCTTCTATGTACTATACAGGGCGCATAATTTGGAGATAGCACGTCATTTTCTTAAGCCCCAGCATGCAGTGTTTTGTCCCCCGGACCACAACAACGGCAATTTGACTGGATATATAAGCAAATCTTCAAACCCTGATCTTGTTGAGCCAATCATTATTCCACATCTACCTACATATGACGCAGAATTCTCCTTCATCAGTATCGATCAGGGAACTTCCATGCTCTTCTATATGCGGCCGAACGGGTGGCCTGAGTTTAAGGATTCATCGACTATGACTACGCACGCCACAATACGCACGTTCATGGACATGGACTCCATGCAAATATCGGTTGCAGCTTTAATCGTGGAGATTCATGTCAAATTTTCGAAATCGAGGAGGATTGATTTGATGGAAGAATTCCCGCAATCTAGATCTTCGGTTACCCTCGCTATTTTAGCCGTAGTGGGTCGCCGTCAGTCCGGATACAGTGCATCAACGTGACACAAGAACTGTATTTGGTACTAATGTATATGTATGTTTTATATTGCGGATCATCTAAATAGCGTGGCTGCTCGGGCGGCTAGGGCCAGTACCCGCTGCCAGGTACAACATGAACTGGCTCCGCACACTGCACCACAGACAGGGCCGGCCCTTTTTCTAGATTTTTCGACTGCAACTATCGCCTGAGAATTTGCTTCCAGAAAAGATCTCCGTCTGCAAGACAATAACTTGACAATCTATGGCATGATGTCAATTCTCCTTCCCCTTTACATCTATCCCAGCCCTGGGGCCTGGGATCCACTCTACGCAGCGTATGTATACAGAATCCTTTTATTCTCCTTATACTAACAGAAATCAGAGCAAAGGCACACCGCGATGTTTCTTTTACAGTCGTGCTCAACCCTTGCTCTGGACCCTGCATGGGCTCACTCCCTGACTCAGTATACCTGGACGAAATCCCAAAACTTGCTCAATACCCCAACATCCGCACCTTGGGCTACGTAGCGACACATTACACCAAAAAAACCGTAGACGATGTTTTGGCAGAAATCGATACATACTCAAGCTGGCCCTACGTAACGAATGTGACGCGTATGCGCGTCGACGGCATCTTCTTCGACGAAACACCCAGCACTTACAGCCCAGAATCATATGCCTATCTTGAACGAGCAACCCACGCAGTCAAGAACACCAGTACGACGTTCAAGAAAGGCTTTATTGCGCATAACCCCGGTCTTGTCCCTCTAGCGGACCTCACCTCACCCAGCTATCTCGCAGACTCATACTTTAACCTTACCGATCTCACCGTTGTCTTTGAAGAAACTTTCGAAAAGTATCTAGACAAGGACACAATGGGGCCCCTTTCCAAAGCAGCCGTCCCGAACTCGAAATTGGGAGTTATCCTGCACTCTGTCCCGAGGCTGAATCAGGACGTGCTGAGCTATATAGTCGGAAAAGTAGAGGAAGCTGCCGACTGGGTGTTCTTGACGAGCGGGATCGAGGGCAACGGATACCATGACTTTAGCGAAGTTTGGCAGGGCATGATCTCGGTAGTCGGGAAAGGAAAAGGCGTGGGGACTGGGTGGAAGAATTAGAGTGAGGATAGAGATTGAGGGGAATGTAGAGCTTTCATGGAGGACCTTTGCTTTTGGGATTCATTTCTTCTTTATCCTTTGTTCAAGAATTCTTAAATGGCTTATGTCGGTATTTAGAAGGTTGCGTTTTTAGGTGCAGCTAGCTAAGCCGTGTCGGTACTCTTCTCCTATTCTTTCATAGTTGGATTGCATTTTTCAGGAATCCAGTTTCCTAGAAACGCTATTTTCACCGTGGAGTGAGCCGTCCCTTGCTGTTGGTCGCATGTAAGCGCCCTCTAAACAGTGACGCCAAACAGGGATAAGCATGCAAGTGCAGCCTCTTAATAGTAAGCTTATTACAGAAAAATCAACCGTTAGTTTCGTAACGTTAAATATCGTGAAGACGCTTCCTATACACCATCTCCCCGCATCTTCTCCTCCTCCTTCACTCTCTTCTTCTCCGCCAACTCCTGTCGCCACCTCATGCCATCCCTCATAACCCACAGCGCGACGGGCAACAACGCCACATATATAAACGCAATGAGCGTAAACGCCCAACCCGGATTCATCGCACGACACATTGGCAGAATAGCCGCCGAACCCCCCGCACTCATCAAGCACCTCGCAAAATTCACCGCCGCCGTTGCCGCAGCCGGCTGATCCCGATGCAACTCAATCAACAACCCATTCGTAATATTAAACGCACTCGTAATACAAAACCCCATGACGGCCAGCGCAATCTCCGGACCCGCAATATGCGTCTTGAACCGCAGCGTCCACGCAAACATGACGATTCCCAGCACGCCGACGACGTGGTTCGGCAGCAGCACTTCCATGCGCACGCGCTCAATGGGGAAGTTGCTGAGATCCTGTTGCTTACCCGGGATAATTGCGAGTCCGATTTTGCGGGCGTGGCGGCGGAAGTTCCAGTCGACGACGCGGCCCATGGTTAAGGAGGCGATGAGGGAGGCGACGCCGTTGGAGATGTAGCACAGTCCGATATCGAGTTCGTTGAGGCCGTAGGCTTCGTGGAAGAGATCGGGGATCGCGGCTACGGTTATCATTAGGCCGGTGAAGAAGAGGCCGTTATACAGGAGGATAATCCCTGATTCCTTTTCACCCAGGATTCTCATCGTAGCGAGTGGATTCGGCCATGCAGTCTTCGTACGCGGAGGCAGCGGCGCAGGTGTTTCATTCAGGAACTTTTTGCGGAGTTTGCGCTGCTGGATGCAGCTTATGACTGAGCGGTTTACTCCCTGTGGGGGGATAGAGCCGTTGCCTACGACTTTCCGACAGGTTTCGGGGAAGAAGAAGACGAAGAGGATGAGGAGGGTGCCGGAAAAGATGGAGAGGAACCAGAAGATTGCGCGCCAGCCTAGGTAGCGGGAGAGGAGGCCGCCGATTGTAGGACCAAAGGCTGGGCCCACTAGCACGCCGGCTTGCGCGTAGCCCATGTAGGTGCCGCGGTCGGCGGAGGTGGTGATGTCGGCTACGACGGCCATTGTTAAGGCAATGGCTGCGGAGCCGCCGATTGCTTGGACCATGCGGAGGATGAGGAGGGCGACGTAGTTTGTTTGCAGGGCAAGCCCGATGTTGCCTATGCAGTAGATTACGAAGCAGATTATGAAGGTTAGTCTTCGTCCGCTGTTGTCGGAGAGAGTACCGAGGAAGGCGGGCGCTATGGCTTGAGCAATCTGTGGACGTTAGATGCTAGGCTATACAATTGGGCGATATAAGAGCTTGGGTTGATTATTGGGAGACTGGGGAAAAGCCTAAAAGAAACAAGGAATTCTGAACGAATCATGGGAAACATACCATGTAAGTCGTCAGCGAGATATTGACCTGCGCAGGCGTGATATCCAACACATCGGCCAGTAGGTTGAGTGCAGGAAAAACCATGGCGGCACCAAACGGCGATATCAGAGCGGATACGGAAACGAGAGCAATAATCCATATCCTCATCCCCTCACTAAACACTGAATATGGCTCCTCTGAAGTACGTTGCTGTACAACTTCCGACGTCACATTATCTTCAACATCCATCTCCTTCTCTGTCGCAACATCTACACTGGCGTCCTCGGCCGAGCTCTTCGGAGCAGCCATATCAGCGCCTTCTACCTTTTCTCCAGCCAGCAACGACTACAAGGATTATATCTTCAAGTTCTGAGAAGGGGTATAGTCAAATATGGCGCAAGCGTGTTCGTTGTAACATTGGCAAGAAGGGGCAAACCAGTCATTGAGATGTGGAGAGAGAGAGAAAGAGAGAGGGAGGGAGGGAGAATCAGAGGGTTGGACACGCACACACATGCTGGGTACATAGTGTGGATCACACTCCACACATGATGCATGTACTAACCGCCCTATCGAACGGCGGCGCTAGGGAAGTGGAGGGAACAAGCCCATGGTTCGCTGCAATTGCCAGGACCGTTGCTGGTTCTTTCTCCTCCCCAAGCCCAATACCGATTGCGGTCGCTATCTGACCTGCATCTTGTCCATTACATACGGCAGGTTGCCGGTTTTGGCCGCTTTCTCCTAGCGCTCTGGTAGTGACGATTTCTCGCTATTGTGCTTGCGTATTGTCACACCGGTGTAGGGTAGTTAGTTCTAGGCTTCGGTCGATGAAGGGTGGACCGAGTCAGGTGGACCCCCACTGGTAGCTTCAATGACGGAAGCCAACTTCCGGAGATAGCAAAGCGCGAATTGCTATTTCCGAACTGGGTCGGAGTATAGAATGCCGAAGAAGAGGTATTATTCCCGGTGTTTGGATATCGATGAGATGATGGGTTGGAAGGTTAAGACAAGCTTTTGGGCTCGGAGTCTAGTTATGCCGCGGCGATGGTTGGTGCGTGGAGTGCGGTGCGGTGCGGTATCGGCGTGTTTGCGCGATGTTAAATATTCTCGGAGTTTTATATATTCCCTAGTGTCTTGGGGAAAAATACATAAACAATGCTTGGGAAGAAGGGATAAAACTGATGCAACGCAAATAAGAAACTTGGTGGAAAAATGCTGCGCTAAAGATTCGATAACTATGCGAAAAGACCAAACCTCCCATATTAGCATGCGATACGCACCTGGCCACTGCTTTTTGCAGCTTCCAGCCATAAACGCCACTACCATGCCTTCGTAGAATCTTTCATAGCCACTCCTAGTGGATATTCCAATTTCTTTGCGTTAATCATATCGATCGTCGTCACCGTGGAAGAACCTCAGCACAGCCTTGGCTACAACCAACCCATCATGCATCCAGTCAGCTCTTTCAGCAGCCTCATTAGCCTCTTCCTTGCTCACACTGCCGCTTTCAACTCTCATCTCCAATTGTCTCTTGACAAGTTTCTCATCAAACTCCATATGTCCTTGCGTAGTGAATAACCTCTTTTGAATATACACGCCCTGAACACCAGTATGATCGCTCGTACCCCAGACATGTACTTTTGTACCCTTTGGCAGCAAGTCCGTTGTTTCTGGTGAAGGAGCATTCACAACATGGTCCAGGTGCATTTGGTGAAGATGGATCTTGGTCTCCGTCTCTGGCAGATTGAAGAGTTCGCGGCCGATTTCTGAAAGCTGGATTGAGTGATGCGACAGCTCCCACTCGCCGTTCTTCTCTGGCTTCACGGTGGATCCTAGTGTACGGCAGAGAATCTGATGGCCAAAGCAGATTCCTGTAAAGCGGATATCGGGGCGGTTTTGCCAGACATCTAACGTTGTTGTCAGCCATTACTTTGCTTGTCGTACCGAAAACCCGGTTTACGCACCTCTGATGAATTGCATAAGTTTCATGATCCATGGGTCATCGCCATGTGCGTCCCAGCAGCTACCCGTAATCAGGATGGCATGTACATCGTCTTGGATCTCTTCTAGTGTCGGTATTTTGCCACCTTCTGGCTCAACAACATATTGCATAGCTGTTTCAATGCCTAGTTGCGG